AAATAGTATTTCTAAAGACTTAATATTATATTATTAAAAATCTATGTGAGTGTCTGTAAGACATCTGTGAACCATTTGTCTGTAAGTGTAGCATGGTCCATAAAAATAAGTTATGGATTATACCATCAAAAACTAGGTTGGGGATGAATTGCAACACATCAATTGATTGGGATCTAACGTTGCTATTTTCCTCTACGGTGAAATATATTCCAAATTCCTAGCTAAATAATTCTCCAAATGGCACTATAAAAGTCTAAAAAAATATATAACGACAATAATCTCAGGCCATGTTTGGTAGAGATTTTTTGAATATATATTTTGTGATTTTTTAAGAGAATGTATAATGTAAAAATAGTAAAAAAAATTATGAATTCACGTACAGAATTATCTTATTATGAGAATGTGTAATTGAAAATGAGTTTGAAAAAAATAAGTTTTAAAATATGGGGGGTCAAAGAGGGCTTAGTTTAACCAAGCCATCTTCGATTATTATCTCTAAAAATTTTAGCAGATTTTGATAAAAGTTGATAAAAATTACGTCCCATGAAATATGTAATTAAAATTAATCGTTAACTTTGATCTTAAAACTCTTTAAACTTTCCCAAACAAGTATCGAGTACTTTGTTTCTTACCCAAGTGGCTAGTAGAGAATGTTTGATCGTTAACTAAAAGTTTGTTTGGGAGGGATTTTAATTCAATTAAAATTGAAAATATAGCTATTATTGAGTCTCACTCGTCTAATAAAAGTCAACAATAACAGCTAATTTTTCAATTTTAATCCGATTTTAATTTATACCAAACAAACTCTAAATGTGTACGTTAATTGTGAATGCCTCATCCAAATGTATATTAATGTTCGCTCTTGTTAACGTTAGTAAATTTTACGTTTTGACTCAATTATTGCACAAGAAAAGAATCCGAAACGAGTTCCATATGGAACCCGACAACCCATTTCTTTCTGTACAAACTTGAATATGACCAAATCAAAAAAGGCAAGAAGATTTGGCTTGCGCCCATCCATGTGGAGGTTGGAGTTAACTATTAGAATGGCACAACATA